TTTTTTTTTTTTTTTTTTTTTTTTTTTTTTTTTTTTTTTTTTTTTTTTTTTTTTTTTTTTTTTTTTTTTTTTTTTTTTTTTGTAAAACATATCATTGAATTAGGGATGCACAACCTGAGGCCCACAGGCCAAATACAGCCCACCAACTGTTGGTTTGTGGCCCTCGGGAACTTCAGAACGCTATAAAAAATTCTTTTTGATTTAGTTTTTCTTTAAACATTATAAATTTTTTAAAATGAAAATATAATTAATTCAAATTTATATTACTTTAAAATGCTTATATTTTTTGCACTTTCATTCTATAAGTTCCTTTTTGGTTTGAATTTATATTCCCCCCAATATTTATGTATGTATATATGTATTTGATAAAATAATTATTGTGAAAAATGGAAAAGTTTTTTAAAATTTATCTTTTTTTTAGTTTTAGATAAATTTAAAAAATTAAAAGTATTTAATTTTCTGCAAATATATTATTAAGTTTACTAATAAAGAGATTTAGTGCTTAGAACATTAATGTTTACATAAAATTTAGCATATTTGCGACTAATATGACTAAATATGCGTGCGGCCCTTTGTTAATCTACCTGCCGTGCAAGTGGCCCTTCACTCAAACAGGCTGTGCACCCCTACATTAAGGAATGAAAATGAATATTTTTATGGGAAATAAAACTTAAAAACTCAAAAGTCAACAAATTGAGAAAATTACCCTATGTGATTGCGTACCCGGCAAATATTTGCTTTAAAGATTCATATTTTTTAAAAAATTTCCCAGAAATTGTGTATGTAATTGTCCAAATCATCAAACGTAACTTTGGTGAGGAAAATGTTAACATATACGTGTAATAATTAATCTACCAAAAAAATTTGCTTCATCTTCGTTTTAGCAAACCAAAAAGTAGAATTTCGTTATTTGTTTTTTTTTTAAATAATTATAGCTTGTGCAATTTTAGACAATTTAATATGTTATTGTATTTCATTGTTTTCTTATGACTGTTGAATAGGACACGAGGCAGAATGCTGAAAATGCAAGAAATGCATTGGATTTTACTATGAAAGATGGCAAACAGCTCAGGGTTCGTTTTGCTACCCATGGTGCAGCTCTCAAGATCAAAAATCTTCCACCCTGGGTTTCAAATGAGCTCTTGGAAACAGCATTTGGAGTGTTTGGAGACATTGAAAGAGCGATTGTTGTTGTGGATGACCGTGAGCGACCCATCGGTGAAGGCATCGTAGAGTTCACAAGGAAACAGTCTGCACAAACAGCCTTGAAGCGATGTTCTGAAGGGTGTTTTCTTCTTACAAGGTGTGTCTTCACCCTCATTTAATGGGGGTTTTTTTCCCTGCCCTCATCCCACCCAAAAAAAGCCACCGTTTGAGGGCTTTTAACTTCTTTTTAGAAAATTTCTAATTTGAGGAGGTTTTTCCACCTAAGAGTAAACCATAGTGGGTAGCGTTTTTAAAAAGTGCTTAAAGGTGCTTATTTTCAATTTTCGCCTTTTAAAGGTGCTTTTTTTCATTGGGTGCTATTAAAAAGTGCTTAATTTTCTCTTTTCCAAAATGAAATTTTTTACTTTATCATGCTGATTTTCTCCACATATTATGCAAAAGCTTGCTTTTCACATTGTTCTATTGAACGTTTTTACAATTCATTCCACCATAATCTATTCAGCGTACCGTCGGTCCCTGGCATATGATAACGCGAATCATTTTACAGGTTTGATGAAATAGTTGCAAGTCCACATGTGCGTATAGTGAGTGAGGATCAGTGAGATTATTGCACTCTCGTGTGCAACTCTACTGTATTTTGCAAGATACTCTCAATTTCCAACTTCATTTTTCACCCTCTTAAATCGAACTGAAAAGTCTCTTTAGATCATTTTTTAATGGCTAATATAAACAAGAAAAGAGGTCTTTCTCAAAAACTAGATATTTTATCATGATCATGTAAAGTCTTAAAAAATTATTTTGCATTTTGTTAATATATATAGTGCTTAAAAATATTTTTTGAGTGCTTACAAATTACTTAAAAGGTGCTTACTTCTGGTTGAAAGATTTGGCTTTGCACCCTGTAAGCATTTTTGAAAATCACTGAATAATTCTAGATTATTTTTATGAGCACAAACAAATTGGTGGTGGAGTAACTTTTCAAACCAGGATTGGCAAAAATTATGATCTTTTATCGAGTAATTTAGATTGTATCACCCTTGTTTTTAAGCATAAAAAAATCAGATGGCAAACAGCTTTTCATTTTACTTTTCTTTGATTTGCATTTTGTTCCATTTTCATAATCTACATAAAAGGTGCTTGCTAGAGACAAACGAAACTCAATGTTTATGTATACCTGTTACTAACTTATACAGAGTTGCCACTTCACAGGGAAAATCTGAAAAATGCAGGGACTTTTTGAATCATCTAAAATAACAGGAAAATTTATTTCTTATTTTTGTTTTTTCAAAAAGGCAGACCTCTCAAAGCACAATCTATGGGATATTTAAGGATGATAGTTCAGCTATATTATATTATAGCATTATTTGTTTTATCAGGGATGAGATTCTTCCGCGGATTTCCGCTTTTTTTCAGATCTTTCCATTTTTCCCGCTAATTTCCGCTGAAATTTTTTTTTGCCCAAGTTAAAATGTTTTATGAGGAATTTAATTTTCCGCGGAGGGAAATTGTTGAAGTCCCTTTTCCTCCCTCTGAAGTTTCTCTAAAAATCATTTCCTTGGGATAAAACTGGTTGACCTTTATACAGGGATGAGATTTTTTTTGTCTCTCGAATTTCAGCCTTTTTATCAAAAACTCCGATTCTCTAAAAGTTTCGTTTTTTTAAATAAATATCCCGTTTTTTTTAAATTCAGTCATTGAAGTAAAATAATTATATTTATTTACGATTTTCAAAGATAAACAGAAAATTCAATCTACGCCCTAGCTGCTAACCCTTCCGCATTTTTACTTATTTTAGCTATTTTCTCCGATTTCACGCACAGAAAATAAGATTTTCCGTATTTTTTATCCGTCGGCTGGATAGCTCGTATTTTCGTAATTCAGATCTCGATTTTTATTCACGCGATTTTAATATCAATCATCGATTTTCGTATTTACCTGATTTAAAAGTTGCACATTGCGATTCTTATTTACGCTATTTAAATATCGTATATTATGATTCTTATTTACGACATTTAAAAATCCAATATCGTGTTTTGTATTTATGCATTTTTAAAATCTCGATTTTATTATCAAATCTCGATTTTCGTATTTACCTGATTTAAAAGTTGAACGTTGCGATTCTTATTCAGGCGATTTAAATATTGTACAGTGCGATTCTTACTAACGAGATTTAAAAAATCAATATCGCGATTTGTATTTACGAGCCTTTAAAGCCCTATGTAGCAATTCGTATTCACGTGAGCTTAAAATCCAATATCGTGAATCGTTTTTGTGGTTGTAATATCGCGCGATTTAAAAATTATGCATCGTGATCAAAAAATTAAAAAATCATGATTTGTATTTTCGCATTTTTTAAATTCGATGTAGAGTTTCATATTTAGGTGATTTAAAAGTCTCATATCGGGATTTATATTCACATGGTTTACAAGTTTAAAAATCGCACTTTTTTGTCAAATTTTTGTTTATATATATTTTTTTTTTCTTCTTTTTTTCCCCTTCTTTTTGTTTGTTTTTTGGATTTCCTCTTTTTTACTTTCTGACTACTCTCATCCCTGTTTTATGTTGATCTGTTCCTTATTTCTCTTAAGTTGCATCTAAAAGTCTTCTTTAGATTGAGATTTATATAAATATTTTTTACTTCAATAAATGTAACAGGGTTCCCACGGTCCTTAAAACCTCTTAAAAAACTGCTTAATTTTTATTTTAGAAAATAAGGGCCCTTAAAAGTACTTAATTTTGGTACAAGGTTTTTAAAAGTCCTTAATTTTTCAGCTTCACTATGGTTGATAGGAACTATTTTTCAGTTCAATTTTTTAAAACTTAAAGTTCTTTTATCATCTAAAATTAAACCATGCATTGAGGGTAGAACATTTTAGAGATACAGGAAGGAGGTATGTGAGAGGTTGCTATAGGCAAGGGGAATAAAGCATGTCCTTTCATTAATATATTGGTTCTTTCATTAGCATATTCTGCCTTTTGTCTAGAATGATACTCCGAGGGGGTACTGCAATTGGAAGGGATTTTTCTTTTTTGAGGGAGGGGGAAGTTCTAAGATACCTAAGTAGAAGACCCACACTGATCTTCAAAATGGACAGAATTCAAGAAATTCAGTTTTACTAGTATCTGCTTATGGGAATAAAGTAAAACCCTAAGAGAAGTATCAAAAAAACTTTTTTAACTGGAATCCATAACAAAAACTATTTGCAAAACTCTTAAATAATTAAATAAATTTGTACAATATTTCAATGTGTAATAAGTAACTGTAAATTTATAGAAAACAGTAGCATTTTTACAAATTCATGTTAGTACTAAAATTTAAACAGGTCTGTATTATACAGAGTTTAAAAAATCCAGCTAACCTAGGTTTTTCATCAAAAACTGCTTACTAAATAAGAATATGATTTGCTTCTAACAAGAAAATTAAATATTTGGTAACTATTTATGACATGTTTTGTTGCAATGTAAAAGTGTTTTTAAAGTTTTAGATTGTTGCGCTTTTATTTTTTGTTCTTAAGGCTAAGCAGATTGTTACATAAAAATTTAAATCTACTTAATTAAAAGATTCCAAACTTTCTGTTATTAATATCTTAAATTCAAACTTAGATTTTAATAATCATTTTATTCAGTAAACATCGCAACTTATTATACTTTTTTTTATTTATTTTTTAAATTTCTATTTAACTTTTGGTTGCTTTGCTTTAAAATTAGTTCATGTTTTTCACCAGATTGTTTTAGTTATATTATGCAAAGTTAATTCCTATTCACAGTTTTGGCTTGAAATAATTTTAGTTAAATATACATAATAAAACATAACTTCATAAAAGTAAATATAACATCACAATTGATGTTTAGTAATAATTCACAAAGTGTTTAAGTAACATACCATTTTCAATAGGTTTTTCATAATATTTTTCACTATTTTTTTTCTTTTTTTTTCAAAACATTATCTGATAAGGTGATATTACAGGATCATTTTATAATAAAAAAAAACCACTTTCAGTTTGAAACTGTTACTTTGCGATAAAAAATATAATAACAAATCATAATAATGGTAGAGAATAATATTAAGGATGATAAAGGATGACAGAAATTTTACTAGTCAATATCTGTAAATTATGAAAAAATAAATAATTTATCAGTATTTATTAATTAAGGAACCTTATCAATTTTCTAGCCATAGGAATGTGTTGATTCCTTTAAAAAATCATTTTCAACCCTTTTATTTATATGTTTCATCAAGAACTAATAAAGAACACATTTTTCGAAAATTATAAAACTTCTCAAAGATAATTGTATTTTTATTCCAAAAAAATTTTCATAAAAATGTTTATTGCAATACATTTAAAAAAAAATTTATTCAGTTAAGTCTAATGAAAAAAAAAAGTGAAATGAATTAAGGTGCTTAGATATTAGTATGGCCTGTTTTTACTTGAAATAGTACTTAATTTAACATGACATAGTTAAGGAAACTGCACTCATGCATAACTCTAATTCAACTTTTTAGAATTAATTCTCTTAATATATACTCTTATGCATGAAAACATTTTCTTAATAGAAAAGAAAGAATTTTCTTGGCATAACTGAATGTTTAGCAAGATTGGCACACAACTGAATGTGTGAATCAGGTCTAGTAGCGAAATATACAAACTTATTTTAATAATTTTTTCAATGCGTTTTTCGAATTTCTTTATTTACTCTTTCTTCAATATATGAAAAAAAGTAGTAAATCTTGACTTATGCTCTTAATTTTTCAATTCAATTTCAACGAAATCATTAAAAATGGAATACGAGGCGAGCCTTGTTATTTAATACAATTATATCTTATATCAGTACTTACATTATAATACTTTTAAAAAAAATTATTTATTAATTTTTCTTTTTTACGAAATTTAAATAATTGTCACTGTTGGTATATGTATATTCGATGATAAACAATTATACTATTTTTAAGATCCTTAATTCTTCAGAAAAGTTCTTAATTTTTTTTTAAAAAAAAGTCCTTAATTTTTGCTTTGTTAAAAGAGTGGGAACCCTGTGTAAGTACTTATATAGTTTTCAATTTTAATTTCTCTTTTTGACTTAACATGATTATGCATGTTTCAAAACTTTACTTGTAGCCTAAAAAACGTCTGTAGTAAAATCTCCGTTATTTTATTTCTTCAATGTTGGCAGGTATGCTATAATTAATCTGTATATTGATTATCTATTCATAGTTCCCCTCGACCTGTGGTTGTGGAACCTTTAGACCACAGAGATGAGGATGATGGTCTGCCAGAGAAAAACTTTCAGAAAACGAATAAACAGTATTTAAAAGAAAGAGAGATCGGACCTCGGCTAGCTGAGCCCGGAACTTTTGAGTATGACTTTGCCAACAGATGGAAACAGCTGTATGGGTTAGAGAAACAAAAGAGAGATCACTTAGAGAAAGAAATTGAAGAGGGAAGGCGTGCTTTAGCAGATCAAATGGATTTTGCCATCTACGACCATGAGGCTAACCTTCTTCGTGAAAGTGAGTTTTCTGTAGTGATCTATAAAAATAATTCGAGAGTTTTTTAGTGGGAAATTGTTGCGTCAAAATAGTTTGTTGTGTAAAAATCATAGATATTTTGTAATATTATCAGAAGGAGACATAATTTAATAATCAAAATGCTTTTGGGGCATTTCTATATTAAACAGTTTAGGCTAAATTTCACATTGTGGAGTAGCTGTTTTAAGTAAAACTAATTTATGCTATTCCGAGATATAAAAAAAAGTGCTTTTTTAAAGAGTCCCTGAACAGCCGACCCAATTTTTGGGTTTACAACTACTTACTTTTGGGTTTTCAACTCTGTAGCCTTGCAAGTTTGAACCCAATCCAGAAGACAAGGGAATTCCTGGATCAAGTATTGGGAAAAATTTGCCTTTGTAGAGGTATTTTTTGATGGAACTAACTTGCATGTGTATTACATGGAGAGGAAAACCTCCCACGGTTAACCTGAGAGGCAAGAGGACTTTAACCCATGATCCGTCTACCACCGAGGATGCTTAACATCAGTATTGTGATGGTTTCGAGCCGGATGCTGAATTCGTATCAATCAGCTGCCTCTGGGAATCGAACTTGAGCCTCCCCGACTCTAATATTTACAGTATTTATAAAAATAAAAGTATTAATACAAACAAAAATTAGATAAAACCATCTCCTGTTTAAACTGTTATTTAATCCTCGTTAACAAGTAAAATTACATCTTATTTATTTCTTCTCACTATTGAGTAGCACAATTTGTTAATATTGTTCCTATCAGTAAATACAAGTATCCAAAAATAATATGTTGAAGTATGATGTACCATTTAATATCATATTTCGGATACATTTATTTTGTTTTAAAATGTGAAAAAGTGCAAGCTTTTAATTCAGGAATTCAAATTTTGTTTTGAGAAAACTAATTTTTATAAACGTCGTTGAACAGCAGGCCCAAGTTTGGGTTTACAACTACTGATGTTAAACTCCATAGCCTTGTAATTTTGATCCCAATCTAGAAAACAAGGGAACTTTTGGATCAAGCATTGGGAGAAATTTGCCTTCCTGGAAGACTTCTTGGTGGAACTAACCCACATTTTTGTTACATGGAGAGAAAAGCCATAAAAATCTCCCACAGTTAACCTGACAGCAAAGGAGACTCTAACCCAATATCCGTCTACCAATGAATATATTTTACGTCAGCATTGTGGTCCGTGCGAGCCTCATGCGGAATTCGTATCAACCAGCCATCATTGGCATTCGAACCCGTCAATGCTCTACCCCCCGAGCTTGTTTTGCGATAGCTTGCGGGGTGTATAAAATCAAACTTGGACAATGTGGACTGTAAACAATTTATTTTGCGGGTGCGCTGGTAGCGCTGCGGAGATGCAAAATCCGAGCGTGTATGCTCTTTGGTTGTTTTACATTAACTGACTCTTGGCTGAGAACAATGACGCCAAGAAGCCAACGGGCGTAGCAACAATAACCTCAAAATTGCTGTTTTTTGACAACAGCGCTTTGGTCTATCTCTAGACGCAATGAAATCCAACAAGGAAGTAACTTTTTTTTAATTAATGTAGGTGGCGCTACTATTACTACATTCATACCGGCTTCAACAGAGCTATCATAGCTCAAGTTGCTTTCTTAGAAGTTTGATAATTACTTGCGTATCTTGGAATTACCCCTGATTTGACAATTTTTTTTAATGTAATTTTTTTTTATAGGACTTCGCCAAATGGAAGAACAGAGTGTTATGATTCAAAGAGAAAAAGAATTAAGGTGAGTTAGTTATGTTTTATTTTACTGAGCAATTACAGTAATTATTGCATTATATTACACTATAGTAATTGTGTAATTACAGATACAGTAATTGTGTAGTAATTCAAAACTTGTTTGTTTAGAAATATTTTTTTATTTTAAAATGAATTTAGAACATTAAGTGTTGCCTCTCTTATATTTTATCAGTAGTTTTTAATTAGTTCATTTTTTAGAGAGAAAAAATTAAACAATAATTCGAAATAAAAATTTAAAAAAATATTTTTCTCATAAATTAAAAAGGTCGAAATGATTTCTTAAAAAAAATATCAGTTGAGCACATTACTTGAATAAGTTTCTCTCATTATCGAAGAGTTACTTTATCTCTTTTGAAAATGTTATAGATAATAATTAATAAAAGCTTAATTTTTTTAAATATTTCATTTTATTATATTTTTTAAAAAAATTTCTCTGTTAGTTATGCTGATAAATTGATAAGAATTTAAATCAAATGTTAATAAATTTGCTTGTATTATTAGAAGATAATTGTAACTTAAATTAGTAAGAGGCACAAAGCACAGGATGAAATCTGAGAATTTAAGTTTTAATGAAAATTTCGATTTTAGAAAATTTTGTGATAATGTGGTGATATAATTTCTGCTTGTAGTTGTCTAGAAAAAAATTAAATTAGTATTATCATATCCATATATAGCTTATTTTGTTTTTTGGCAAAATTTCCCACTTTTAAAACTTTAAAGGAATTCTTAATGTTTCTGTATTATTTTGGTTTACTCTATGATTTTGTTTCCAAGGAAATCAAAAATTTATTTGGTTACTTGAACAGCAGGCTTCGGTCAAAATAAGGTTCAAACATTGCCCATAGCAGTGAACATACATTATATCTTCACACATTTCTTTACTTTTCTCTGGTACTCCATTGTTTCATCCATTGTTGCTACACCTTCAAAGCAGACACTAAGTACTGAAGCCCAATCCAACTTTGAAATATATATGAATTTTGTATTTAATTTCTCAAAAATGGACTTAGTACTNATATTTCAATAGAATAGCTCTTTAATATAACAGAGGATAAAAAAAGAAATCAATCTTAGAAAAACCCAGTAACACCCACTTTAGAGTGGGTTTTTTGCAACCCTGCTTCAAAGCAGACACTAAGTACAGAAGACCAATCCAACTTTGAAATATATATGAATTTTGTATTTAATTTCTCAAAAGTGGACTTAGTATTGCTTTGGACTTGCTTTGTTAACCTTTGTTGGCAGATGAATTACTCAACAGCTGCAGTTACCTTCATCATTAAAATATGGTATTATTGTGTAAAACAAACTTTTTTGGGGGAAAGGAACTCTTTGCTAATTTAACAATCCCTGTGGCAGAATTTTTTCGAGCTATCTACGACAAACCTCTCTAGCACTAATATCTTTCTGCGAAATACTTTTTATAACGAACATATATGTTACCAATTTAAAATTACAGAAGTGCTGTGTTTACGAAAAAAATTATAATTTTTTTTAATTGAACATGTAATTATTTTTTATGCTATTATTATGGGTGATATTCTTGCATTTTATTTGGGGGGACACAAATTATTTCCTCTTTCACATTTTGTAAATAATCATCACTATAAAAAAGTAATTAAAAATCATGAAATCTGTAGTAGTAATTGCAGAAAAAAGATTTACGAAATCAAGCAAATCAAACTCCTCAAATGCATGTTTTGTTTCTAGATTAAAAACTGTAGAGAAATCAATAGCAATAACTACTGAAGAAAAGATCGCATTATTTTCTTAAAAAGTAAATACTCAAATGCACGATTCGAAATTTCCATATTGTTTGAAATATATCGAAATATTTAAAATCCACACGAAAATCAATATCAATAACTGCTAAAAAATAAATTTGAAACATTACTTCAATTTACGATACTATTGGCATAAATTGAGTCAGTCAAGAACGTTACCTAAATGCATGATTCAGATATTACGTGTAAATTTCTGAAGGAAAGAAAATAATTTTTTACTTTTTAGAAGAAAAATCTTTTCTGCAAGAACTCTGTAACGTTCTGCGATAATGTCGCTGTGGTTCTGCCACAGGGATAACAATATTATTGAGTTACATTCTGTTTTCAATTTTCATTAAATCTTTAAAAAAAAAATTTTTTCATGGATGTTCTTCAGGCGTGAAGAAGAAAGGAGAAGGGAAGAGGCACGCCGTCAGCAGGAGATGTTGATACGTCGGCAAGAAGAAGATCTTCTTAGAAACAGTATGAGGAGGTATCCAGAAGAAAAGATGATGATGCAGGTAATTCTTCAATATTAAAGACTGGGCCAAAGTGGGCCCAGCCTGAAAAACCTCAACCAGATTTTTTCAGCGAGTCTGCTTGAAAGACCACATTTAATTCCCTTAAATTGAGAAAGTTTCCTTTAAAAAATCTTTATTGAAATAGAATTTTTGTGCAGATTATTGCATGTCTAAATATTTAAATAAGTGTCACTAATACATAATAAAGCAAGCCTCATTTATTCAATGTAGTTAATAATCTTTGAAATTTGTCAAATGTGGAATTTATGTCTATTCAAAAATGAATAGACATAATTTCAAGACCATTTAATGTGAAATCATATAAATTTCCCTATAAGTAAAATATTTAGTATATTCTGCAACAACTATCATGAAATTTTTATTAATGCGTCAAATCTACTGGATTTTTTCTTATCTATGTGGACAGCTATGTTGAGAACATGCTCATGTGATTTTGATTAGGTCGGACAAGTGAAGTAAGTATTTGTCCTTATGAAAAATTTATTAGAGATGAGGATCTCCTAAAATCTTACAAATATTTTTAATATTATATGAATCAAATTTTATTCAATTTTGTATAAATTTTGCATTTTCTGATTGTAGTGATGTAAATTACAATTAAAATCAATTGTGACTCCGTTTATCAAAAACTATAAATTTTTATAAACTAAAATATTTTATGTAGTTAATCGAAATTATTGAATTTTAAACAAATTCTGTTATAAACTTTCGAAATTTAGCATATATATTACTGAAGATCATAAAATACTGCTTTTTATGTATTTTAATCATATCTTAAAAACTAAATAGTTTTTAATTTTTTTACCAATGAATTGAAATTCAATTAGGTTTTAGTATTTTTACACTTCTTTTTATCAATTTTAAAAAAAATGTGAAGAAAATTTGGAAAAAAGAACATTAAAAATTTAGCCGAAGAACATGTTCTTTTATTTTAAGACTAGAGAAACACCAAATAATTAATTATGGGCTGATCTTACTAAATATTCAGCTTAGGGCAAACAGTTTCCTATTTTTCTCTTAATAAAAGTTCATTTATAACGGTATATAATGCTAAAAAGTTAAATTAGAATTTTTTATAAGATTTTGTTTAACATGCCATGTGTCATGTTAAATTCTGTATTCCAGGTAAATACCCTTCCCAGATATACATAACATACACAAATGTGTGGACGCCGTGGGCGAAAAATTTGTCATCTTCGCAGAAACTTTTTTAACCCACTGGCGTTTAACAAATGAGCAAAATTGGGAGAAACTTTTTCCCCAATACGTTATCTTTTCTAATGACATTAAAAAACCGGTTTAACTGTGCGAAGAAGACAGGTTAAAATACAACTTTTTGCTTGCAGCATTGTCAGTGATTTAATGTTATTCATTATTATAAAATGTAAGTTATGATTATTACAATGTACTGAATTTTAAAGAAGGTTTAAAAAATATGCAATGTATATGCTTTTACTTATACATCGTATATGTATACAATTTATTTAAAAAAAAAAGGTATACGCTCAGGGCTGCCACTCTACAGGGAAAACTTGGAAAATACAGGGAATTTAGATATTACCTAAAATAACAGGGAATTTTGATTTTTTCTTTACAAATTGGGAAAATACAGGAATTTTGTTTCTCATTTTTATCTTTTAAAAAATGGGACCACTCAAAGTGTAATCTATGGGATATTTAAAGAAAATATTTCAGCTATATTTAACTATTTCATTTACTATAGCACTACTTAAAGTATGTCATGCTTTTTTCCAGCAATTAAAACTAATAAATATAGTTAGCCCAATATGGCTCACACAAAAGCACAATAATTGTTGTTTCCGCTTAATATATTGCGTATATTATCTACAGGGAAAACATAGTGATTTTTTTTCCAGATTTGAGTGGCAACCCTGACGCTGTATACAAATATAATGGTCAAAATTTCTATATTCCACTCCTGTCAATTTTAGAAAAATTGGATTCAATAACAGAAAATTTGGTAAGTGCATAACCAGGGTTAGGTTTTTACCAGGAAAAAAGTAGTTACCAAGGCATGGTAAAAACTAGGTTTTTACTGCTGAAAACCTGGTAAATAATGTTTATTTATTTACAGATATAATGGATACAGACAAAAATTATAAATTTCCATATTATATTTTGTATTAAGAATTATTAACTATATATTTAATATTAAAATATATTTATACAAATGTGTATGAATAACGAGTTTTCAAAATAACTGCTGAATTTAAAGAAAAATCTGTTGTATGAATTACCATCAATATAGAGTTCTATAAAAGCTTAAAACTCTTTAAAAAAAAACAGGTGGTTTTTCAAAATTTTGTAACAATTAGCTCTTAATTGGTTACAAAAGTCAATAAATTGCTTGTAGAAAGTTCACTCATTGAAAGTTTTTCATTTTATCTAAGTCTGGTCCTACCAATCTCCTAGCACAATACATTTGGTTCCATTCTTTTAGATAAAAAATCTCTTTTTCCTTTTTTTTAAAACTTAATTCATAATGTCAAGCCATTTAAATTCATTGCAATAAGAGTTTATAAAAACTTTTATAGTGTAAAACTGAAGTTGTTCTTAAGAATTCGAGTTATGTTTTGAACTAAGATTGCCAGATTATTTTTGGAGCAGCGTTACATTGCTAATTTACATACGTGTTTTTTTGCTTCTTAAATATTTTGTTCTGACTTTTTCCTTCATTAATGACATGACACCATGTCCCAGATGTTTTATATCACTGATTCTAAATTAAATATATTCCATTAAGGATTCCGGAATACCGAAACTGCCTCCAGGTTCCTTATCACAAACACCTTCATCTGATCCCTCATCTATATACAGCAATAGTGCAATGCCTGGATCTGGCATGGGACCTCCACCGGTAAGACTCTTTCTGGCATTCCTTTTTAATCATGTTTTGTGCTTGATTCTCAATAATATAAAGAATGAAAATAAATATTTCATATCTGCCAACTCTACTGGAATTTGCCAGTTTCTCCTGGCTTACAGGTTTAATAAAAATCCTCCTGGTTTTTGTACATTTTCAGAAAATTTCCTAAAATTTAGTAAGTTTCCTAAAAAAATCCCTTTTGAAATAGCATTTTTGCACAGATTGCTCGCTTGAGTATTTAAATATGTATTACTAATACATAATGAAGCAGGCCTCATTTGCAGAGAAAGTTAAAATGATAAGCTTAAAACTTTTTTTGTTCTAAAATGTTCAGTTTGTTTTATTCAGAACTCCCTGTTTAAATTGTTTTAAAAGTCTTTACTATCTCTGATTAATTACTATTAGTATTCAAAATGATGAGTAAACATAATACAAAGCATTTCAAGTTCATTTAAAGTCAATCATAACTGGAAAATATTGCAGTTTTTTCCATTTTGATGACTTTAAAAATTCCTAAAATTCTATGAGTAAAATATTTAATACATTGTGCAATAATTATCATGAAATTATTTTAGTAAAATGTACTTGATTGTTTCCTATTTATGTTGGCAGCTATGATATTAATAAATAAATAAAGCTATTATGGTCATATTGAGGAAGGTTTTAGACAAGATTTCTTGGTAATTTAGAAACCTTTGAAAATGCTTTAGGCAATCTATTTTTTTCTTTTTGTAGTGAGCACTTAGTCTTTCAATTCAAATGTTAAGATATCATTTTTCCTTGAAAAAACAAATTAATTTAATTTTGGTTTGATGTTAATTGTTGTGTGATAATGTTTTGATATGATCTTGTTTCAAATAATGCTCATGCTAAGAAAGGTTACAGATATACTATGAACAGTTTGCATGCTGATATAATTTCTGGAGGAAAAAATTTATTAAATTTTAGTTTTAAAGTCTGGCAAAAAAGTAATTAAGCTTAACTGTGGTGTAGTCTATTTTCTATGCTTTTTATTCTATTAAATTTTTAAAAAAAAGTTATAAAAAACTAAAATTATTTTGTAAAGCAAAATAATTGAGTTTTGCTTTGCTAATTTTTAAAAAAAGCTGATTTCGAATTATGTTTATGGTATGGAACGCTTCATATCTATTATTATATTGCTATAATTTTTAAAAAATAAATAAATATCTCTTAATACAATTAAAATAATATAACTTTACATATATATATAAAGCTTTATATAGTATAATTTAATTATTTTGAGTCTACGTGTGTGTGTGTGTGTGAATTTTAACATATTATAATTAAAAAAGAACATTTTTAAAAAAAGGGAAAATAAATAAATTTTAGTTTGCTAATTATTGTTTGATAATTTTTGAAGTGGTATAGTTTTTAATTATGTTTATTCTGTAGAAGACTTCATATCTTTTATAAACTTTTGGAATTCTGTTAATATTTTGCATTGCACATAAATGTTTCTACTAAAGCATTCGAAACATCTTGATTTGATAGCAGTAATCTTTTTTTTTTTTAACATTGACGATTGATTTGAATATTTTCTCTCTGTTATAATTTAGGAAAATTCAAAATTAAAGCTATTAAATTTCGGTTTGTTTATTTTTCATAAAAGTTTTAATGTGGCATAGTTTCAAATTATGTTCATGGTATTGTAGGCAAATCTCTTTACATTCAGTTATAATTTTTTTTAAAAATAAAGGAATTAAACTTAATAATATAATAAAAAAAGATTAGTTTATTTCATTTTATTTTAAATTTGATGCAGTTATAATGTGAGGGGGGGGAGGCTTATTATGGTACTTGGATATAGTTTGTTATGCTTTTTGTCACATTACAATTGAAAAAAAAGATTTTTTTTAAAAAGAAAAATAAGTTTAATGAAAGCTCTTATTTGGTTGATAGAATTGAATAACTTTGTTTTCTTTTTTAATTTGAAGTAAATAAGTAAAAGTTTTAATTTATCATTTTGTTATATCATCTTAATTGTTTCTACTAATAAATAGTTTGAAATAAATATTCTTTTTAATTTTTTGCATGAAAACTCTCTATTTTAATTTATGATAGTTGTTTAAATGGTTAAGCATTGAATATCGCTTAATGAAATTTTAATGTTTTTCTTACTCTACTAATTAGTAGCCAATCTTAGTTTACAAGTCTTGTTGGCAACTTTGTCTAGAGTTTCTGTTTGATATTTTTACTGTTCGCCTTTAAATAAATTGCTAAATAAAGAGTTTATATAATTTTACAATTGAATGAGTTTTTACCAAAAAAGTATTGCTCCTTAACAATAAACAAAAAATATTATCTTTTTACTAATCACCCATTCACTTTTCATGATTAATAATTATTACTAGTAACTGTAAAAGAGCTATCCAAATAAAATGTTTTAACATATGAATTATAAGCACATTCTATCAGAAATAATGAAAATATTTTCTCACTTTAATGTATAATTTTTTACTTTCTGTAATCAAAAAAGATTTAATGAAATATTGAAAAACTTATTAAAATTAATAAAATATTTTCTTCTAATTGTGTTCTAATTATTCTTGATTATGTTAGTTATAATATTAAGCCAAAAGAATTAGAAATAAGAAAGTTATTAATAGCCCATTATTTCATGAATAATAAAAGTGTTAATAATTACCTTTTTTCCCCAACATTTATGTGTATAATTTTACTTGGAATTTTTTTGAATGACTGAAAAGGATTTAACAACTTATCTAAATTCATTGAAAAATTTGAAACAACACTTGAAACTTATAATATTTTGAAGTATTTTATAATGACTATTTTTTCGTAATAATGTTGGATCTTTGATAATTTTTTGGTTGTTTCTTACACCATATATACAGGGTGATTCTAAAAAGATGGGCAAAATTTTAGGAAGTGATAGTCCACACCCAAGTAAACAATTTTTATCAAATGCATGGTCGAAAACAAAACGCAAAGGTGCTGGCGCATTAGGAAAGTTGTTTGATGCAAACGAGAAAGCTCCATTCCTATTGCGAGTTACTGCGCTACTTTATTTGTCGCCAAGCTTTCAGTCGCTGCAGGGAAAGTTCGCCTATCTTTTCTTCGCAGTTGTACCAGCATAACCACTGCTGGCCACTGTTTTGAGCACTTATTGTAATCACATGCCATTAAATTTGCTTTCATAACTTAACTTCATTGTTCTTTGTGTGTTTTTGCCTCATATAAGAACATAAACTTTGACGCCCTCTAGCAGTTTTGGGTTTTGTTTTCGACCATGCATTTTTTTATAAAAATTGTTTGCTTGGGTGTGTACTATCACTTCCTAAAATTTAGTCCATCTTTTTAGAATCACCCTGTATACAGGACACATAGCATTTTTTAAAGGTGCTTATTTTGGATTTAGAATTTTTAAAAGCCTTTAAAGGTACTTTTTTTATTCGGGGTTTGTAAAAAGTATTTAATTTTCTTTCTTTTAAAAAGAGATTTTTTCTTTGCCTTGTTGATTGTTGTCATAAATTACAAAAAAAACATGATTTTTACAATTTACTCAGCAAAAAGTTATTATTTATCATGATTAGGTAATGTGTTTGAAAATGTTTTTGCATTTTGTTCATTTTATGTATATAAATTAAGAGCTTTAAATGATAGAAAAAAAAAATTTTATTACTGCACATATCCTATTTATAATTTATTTTTTTTGGGAGGTGCTAAAAAATATTTTTGAGTGCTTTAAAGGTGCTTATTTTTTGTCAAAAAATATGGCTACGCACCCTGTTTATAGATATTTCCTATAAGTAATTTAAATTATTCATTCCTGTGTCTTTTAGTTACTATTGATGACTCATAAGAGCAACAATAGTTTGTACACACTTATAAATGTGTGTATATACATTAGATACCATTCCTTTTTGTGAATATAATCGTGTGAGCTAGCTGGTAAAGAGATTATATCTTTTCATTTTCTGGTTTTCTGGCTTTTTAATTTTATTTATTCACTTTTTTAAATAATTTAATTTTAATGATTTTTCTACTGTTTTAATTTATCTTTATTATTTTTCATGTTTTTTCTATATTTTTAACTTATTTTATGAGTTCTATCTGCTTGCAGTTTATGCTCTGTAAATAAAACTTCTTAATTTTCTTCATTTTTCTCTTCTGTTTTTCCTTTTTGTCTTTATTATGCTATAGATATAAAGACATTAAAAATAAAAGCAAACAAGCAGTTGGTGAATGGAGCCGTCGAGTTAAATTTCACAAAAGGAGACAAAATTAACATTTTTAGACCCTTTTTATTTTCACCAAACAGGTAGAAGCAGGGAAACTCATGGAATTTTTTAAATCAGGGAAATTTTAAATAATTTGATCAAAATAACAACGAAATTAAGGAAAAATGAATCAGTTCTGAGATATTACTTTCAGGAAAATTTTACTTGTACGAGACGGAGCATTACTTAAATTTTTAGAAAGTAATACAAGAAATAATTTCTTTCCAAAAGAATATGTTTTATTGCTCCTCAAAGTATTCTCTTGCAGGATCGCATTCTAATAAACATATTTTCAAAACATTTTTGCCACTCTAAACTTGGCGCAGCAGAAACATATCATTTGTAAGCTGCAACTGCCTCTTCTGAGTTGGCACAAATGTTACAAGTGTTAAACTACGTGTGCTAATTTTATAAGATTAAAATTGAACAAGAAAGTTATATGTATTCAAGAAAGTTATATGTCAGAAGTAACGTTTTTTGTATTTTGAAGACGGTAAGAGTTTAAAATAGGGTATCATAAGTTTAAAATTATTGATAAAAAATTAAGGCTTCAAAAAAAATGAGATAATGTAATTGAAATGTCTTCTAACTATTTAAGAACAAATAACTTATTCATTTTTTATAGAAAAAACTCAAATATCCTTTACTTATATCAATTTAGCCTATTTGATAAGAATTTTTCACACTTATTACATGAAAAATAGTTGCTAATGTCATATGGATGATATGGAG